TAGAAATCAGAACAGTAATTACCTTTGGGAGGGGGATTAACTGAAAATGGGCCTGAGTCAACTTTCTGGAGTGATGGAGTATCTTGGTTAGGGGTGGTTATTACACAGGGATATACACTAATCAAAACTCATCAAAACTGTACATTTAAAGTCTCTGTATTCTACTGTATATAAATAATACCTCTGTTTAAAAAAAAAGGACACCAGTTGCATCTCTACTGAGGAACACTGCTGAGACCTTCTCTGGATTTTTGTTTGGTAAGGAAAAGTCCACATTATCCTGGCTTTTTCAAACACCTGGGTCTCAGAAACTTCTCTTTTTAGTACAAATAAAGCATTAGAAAAACAAACAAACTTGGTCGTCTCCAACTTATCAATAAAAAGAGAAAATATTAAGAATGCCTGACTAGCTGATTTTTAGTCATTAAAACAAAGGAGAACACATAGAAAACAAAGTATTTGAGAGAAAATGATTGTGTTATGGCTCTGCTGCTAAATACAGCATCTTGAATTTTCTCTTTAGTACCATATATTATAGTTTTTCCCAGGATTATTTATAAGTGCGGTTTGGCAGACCATTTTTTTCTATCTGGCAGGTAAGGATTATTTTTTAAACTCATCATTAAGACTATTTTGAATGACAAAAAAAAAGAAACAAAAAGAAGAGCCAGTGAAAACTAAAGAAGAAAACGCCACAAACACCTTTATGATCTGAGCCAGAGACACACTCTCCTGCTGAGCCAGCGAGACGCCCCTGACTCTTTCCACATCCGACAGCTGGAGCACCGACTCCTCGACGGCATTCAGGTAGCTGAGCTCTGCCGCCATGCGATGCTGGAGGCCAGCAGGAGAAAAGCGCTTAGAACCTGGAGGGCACGACAGTTGTCAAATAGAAAAATTCACGTGAAATCATGCCTCAGAGTTCTAAAATTTATTTCATTTTAAGAGCCAAAACCAAATCTGTTTTCCTTTGTAGGGAAGACGGGGACTTTAAAGTGAGTCACACGAATTTTTGGTTTCCTAGTACACACAAAAGTCATGTTTACATTATACTGTATGTCTAAGTAATGTACATACCTTAATTAAAAAAATACTTTATTGCTAAAAAATGCTAACAATCATCTACATCTTCACCAAATCACAATCTTTTTGCTGGTGGAAGGTCTCGTCTCTATGCTGGTGGCTGCTGACTGATCAGCAGTGGTGGCTGCTGAAGGCTGGAGTGGCTGCGGCATTGTCTTAAAGTAAGACAACAATGAAATATGCCACGTTGACTCTTTCTTTCACGAAAGGTTTCTCTGTAGCATACAATGCTCTTCGGTGACTTTTACCCACAGTTGAACTTCTTTTACAACCGGAGTTAATTCTCTAACCTTGCTGCTGCTCTATCAACTACGTTTATATAATATTCTAAATCCTTTGTTGTCATTTCAACAATAATCACAGTATTTTCACTAGGAGTATATTCCATCTCAACAAACCACGTTCTTTGCTTATCCATAAGAAGCTACTCCGCCTACATTCAAGTTTTACCATGGGATTGCAGCAATTCAGACCCATCCTCAGGCTCCATTTCTAATTCTAGTTCTCTTGCTTTATCTACCATATCTGCAATTATTTCTGTTACAGTCTTGAACCCCTTAAAGTCATCCATGAAGACTGGAATCGCCTTCTTCCAAACTCCTGTTAATGTTGATATTTTGTTTCTTTTCTTTTCTTTTTTTTTTTTTAGTAGAGACAGGGTCTCGCTCTTGCTCAGGCTGGTCTCCAACTCCTGAGCTCAAGCAATCCTCCTGCCTTGGCCTCCCAGAGTGCCAGGATTACAGGCGTGAGCCACCATGCCCGGCCAATGTTAATATTTTGAATCTCCCATGAATCATGAATGTGATTTTTCTTGCCTTAGGTTTGTTCATACAAAAAGCACAGAAGGACAACAGCCCCATGCAGACAGCAGCCCAGGGATTACACCAGTCCTTATGTCCTCTGACTGGCAGACAGAGGCCTCTACTCTGGAGCTCACTGGGGCCTGAGCATCTTTGGGAGCCTGAGTTGGAACCAGAACCGAAGGTAGAACCACAGCTGAAGGGCCTTGCGTTATCCCTCGCCTTGACTTTTGGCCAGTAGAGCCCAAGACACTTGGCAACGTGGGCTCAAGCACATTTCCCAGGCTTGGGATGGGCAATGCAGGCAAGCTGGCTGAGCTCACAGCTGATGCCCTTTGGAGTCTTGGCCTTAACCTCCTAGGGCTTTATGAGGCCTTGATAGCCTCAGCATATGCACTGATTTCTTTGGCTTGTTGGTCTGCAACTTCTTCAGGCCCTTTTTGTTGTACTTTTTAGCAAAGCGCATGTTCCTTAGGAACCTGGGATCCACCCTCTTAAGATATTCACATCTTTACGATCAGGGTTTCTGGATGCCATTTCTGTGCCATTTCCAGGACTGGTTATGGGAGGCGTGGTTTTTGGACTTGGCCATGTCCACACTGTAACCCATGGCTGCCAAAGGCACCTGGACACAAATGTTCTTAATGGAACCTAGAATGGAGAATCCACTGAAAACCAGAAGGTTTTCAATTTACTTTGCCCAGACTCATCAGAGGAATCACTACCTGCGGCAGCTATAGCCTTACAAGATGCAAAATGTGCTTCTTTTCTTTTTTTTTTTTGGAGACAGTCTCACTCTGTTGCCCTGGCTAGAGTGCCGTGGTGTCAGCCTAGCTCACAGCAACCTCCAATTCCTGGGCTCAAGCGATCCTCCTGTCTCACCTCCCGAGTGGCTGGGACTACAGACATGCACCACCATTCCTGGCTAATTTTTTCTATTTTTAGTAGAG